ATATAAATACTAGATGGCTGAATATTGATTAGCGCTACTTAGCCTCAGAGCCACATTGCACCTTATACATTAACAGCAATATTATTGTCTATAATATACGTTATAACCTTCAAGTCATGATCATTTCTATTCCTTCATGTATGACTTCTCAACCTTAATACAATATTTTTTTAAAGCATTAGTTTATAAAACCTAATTGTTGCGGTGCTACATAGTACCCATGTGACTCATAATCGAGTACATGTTGATCGAATATCGTGATCAGAATTTGTATAAATAGTGTGATCATGATTTAATTAAAAGTCTAAAATAGTGATTACATGAACAATGTAGTAATCAGTAGTGATTAGTAATAATAGTGATTGTATGAACAATATAGTAATCATTAGCAATAGTAATAAATATAAGACATCGATCTAAATGGAAAAGTGCCTAGCTTTGATTCTTATTGGTTCTCGTGATCTCTTTGAGTTATTCTTAGTGAATACACTGTGTTATCTCTGTGATTACATTATTGGTGATAGCATCTGGTACGATACTCTAGTCATCGTATATACGTATTAGCCAAGCGAATGAAGATTGATAGTAAAAACCACAAATACACAGGAGATAGGGAAACTCCGTGACACTAATAATGCAAGGTGGATAATAGCAAAATTAAAAGATAGAGTTCTGCTAATTCAAATCGAATGCTTATAAATCTCTTAATTATGACATTTCGTCATTTACTTGCAATACAATTTTTCTTTTATTTATTTATTTATTTAAAATTTCTTATGATATTTATTATGCAAAAACTGAATTATATCATATATTAATTGTTCTTTAACTATTACGCATATACATTTTCTTGTATATGTGTCTATGTGTCTTATTCATGTGATTAGAATCACTGATTTCACAATAATGTTGGCTCGTCACTTCTTTGATGAGAATCCTATATTTATAAAATTTTTTTTTTTTAATTTTAAGGTTGTGGACAAAGAATGTCTTTATAAGGATCATCAACATGTTGATGAATTTTCATATATAAATATTTTTTTCGGTCATTTGATAATAGTACAGAAGAAATAGTATTTAATTGACCATTTTTATCAAAGTTATCATTATGCAATAATTGAAAACAAATTTCTTTTCTACCTGATTTTTTTGAGGCAAAAACTTTACAGAGTTCTAAGCTATTAAATCGAAAATGATAATATTGTTTTATATTTGGTAAAGATTTGAAATTATTTTTAAAAAGAGAACTAAAGTTATGCCAAACCCATCCTGTACCATTTTTATATTGAATCACATTATTTCCTTTTGATGAATTATTTACTATATTTTCTATATTATCAATAGTATTAACACGATTATCTCTATAAACTTTTTTAATATGTCCAAAAAATGAATCACAGATAAACTTTGTATGCCTAGGGAGCATAAAATTAATGATGATTTCTTCATACCAATCTAATGAACATAACCAAGACCAAAACCAAAGTGATAAGTTGTTCTTATTTTGACCGCTACAGTTGTCACAAGTTACTCTTAATTTTTTTGTTTTTTTAGTTCTAAGAAAATAATATACCATATTTAACATAGTATTAGCTACTTTCGCAACCCCTTCGGGAAGTTTATTTTCGCCAATTAAAAAATTTAATTAATAATTTTGTTCACCCGTTTTACAGATGCCAAAAATATTTACAGAAAAAGAAGATTTAAAATAAATTAGACCAACTTGTTGCGGCAAATATGGTAAATAAACATTTTGTGCCCAATCATAACAAATATGTGTAATATCTGGGTTATTTTTACTCTCTTCAATATTGTTATTGTAATGTTGTCTTTCACGTTCTGCAGCCTCTGTATGTTCGTTATATTCGGCTTGGACTTTATTATATTCATCAATATCCTGTTTGGCGACTAATAATTTAGCCTTAAAAGAAGTACAAATCTCACAAAGATAACTTGTACATGGCTGAAATCAAATATTAGGAGCTATCTCATACTATAATTTTCTAAATGTAAAATATGAGATTATTTTTTCAGATTCATTATGAGTAAGATAAAAGTTTTTTTTATATTTATTATAAACCGAAACATAGGTTTGACCAGTCAGAAGATAAATAAAAACACCAGAATCATCTTGATGCCGTAATGGAGAAGGAAATCTGTGTATTGTTCCATATTGCACTAAAAATTGTTTAATTGGAAATGTTATAGCAAGATCTAAAAAAACTCTTGAATCTGTTTTAGATGCGCGCCCAGTATTTCTATGAACACATTCAGTTAACCCATTTAATTGTAAATGATTTTGTAGTATACAAAGTAAATAATCATTAATTCCACATAACTTTAATTACGTAGGTTTACAAAGAAGTAATGAACTATTATAATTATATCTGTATGTATGCTTTTGTGTTTTATTCTTTAATTTTTTATCACTAATTTCGAATGATATTAATTGTAATTTTATAAAAAGTTCAAGCTCATGTTTTTCTAAAGCTTTTAACTCAAAATGTCTTTCAAAAAAACGATTAAACTCTATTTTTTCAAAACAGGTTCTAAGAACTTTTTGTTTTGGTGTTCGACGGCAAGTACAATTATTAGGATTTTGAAAAAACAATTTTAACTCATAAATCGTGTCTAAAACTAGTTCATTTTCTTCATAATCTTCTAATTCTAATTCAACTAAGTTATAGACAGGCTTGAAATCATTAATAGTTGGTGATAGAGACATTTTTTAAAAAAATAATAGGTACATGCAATAAATCTTTATAAATACAAGAAAATTGAATCGAATACTATAAATCTTTTTTAAAATACAAGATTATGAACAA